ATGAAGCATTTTAAAGTCCCTGACTGAGATTATTTTAAAGAAAGAAGCTCTTTTTTTATCAAGTGAATTATTTTATAATTCATAATGCTGGAATTTATTTTGGATCTAGGAAATTTTTTAAAAAAAACCTCAAAATTTCTTAATTTAAGTAAAACTTAAATAAATAAAATTTTGCTTTATTATATAATGAATTGTTAAATTGCACTGTATTTTCTTAACTATTGAAGTTTTTAATGATATAAGCTCATCCCGATGTTACACTCATCAAGAATTTTCATTTGAGTACCCACATGCATTTTCATATATTTTTCATATATATATATAATATATGAAAAATTGATGTGGGTACTCAAATGAAAGGTCTCGATGAGTGGAATTTCGAGATGAGCTTATATCTTTAAAAGTGTCAATAGTTCACAAGAGACAAGGTCCTTCCCGTACAAAAAAAATTTTGGTTCCGGATGAATTTCCGGATGAACTTCAGATTGTGAAACAAATATGAATTTCATAATGAATTTCATCTGGAATTCCAGATGAATTTCATGATGAATTTGAAACAAATAGTATATGAAACTTAATTTTTTTAATTTGTAAAAAAATATTTGGAGAAAGATATATTGGAATTTTTAGTGTAACTTACGCTGACTCATTATTTACGATTCTTAAACTTCTATCTGCATAAATTTTTTTGAGTAAAAGAACACAATATTCAGAACAATAATTCGAAATTCATCATGAAAGTCAGCTGGAATTCCAGATGAATTTCATGATAAATTTGAATCACTCTGTATATGAAGCTTAATTTTTTTAATCAGTAAATAAATATTTGGAGAAAGATATATTGGAATTTTTAGTGTAACTTACGCTGACTCATTATTTACGATTCTTAAACTTCAATCTGGATAAATTTGTTGAAGTAGAAGAACACAACATTCAGAATAATATTACGAAATTCATCATGAAAGTCAGCTGGAATTCCAGATGAACTTCATGATGAATTTGAAACAAATAGTATATCAAACTTAATTATTTTAATTTGTGAAATAATATTCGGAGACAGTTATATTGGAATTTTTAGTTCTATTTACACTGGCTCAACATTTGCAATTCTATAACGCCTATTCGGATAAATTTTTTGGAGTAGAAGAACACAAAATTCAGAATAATATCACGAAATTCATCATGAAAGAATTATTATTTTACATTTTGTTTTTCTACTCCAAAAAATTTATCCAAATAAACTTTATAAAATTGCAAATGTTGTGCCAGTGTAAATAAAACTAAAAATTCCAATATAACTGTCTCCAAATATTATTTCACAAATTAAAAAAATTAAGTTTAAATTCATATACAAAGTGATTCAAATTCATCATGAAATTCATCTGAAATTCCAGATGAAATTCATTATGAAATTCATATTTGTTTCACAATCTGAAGTTCATCCGGAAATTCATCCGGAACCAAAATTTTTTTTGTACAGGTTTCTTAATTACTGACATTTTTAAAGATAAACGCTTATCCCGATGTTACACTCGTCAAAACCTTTCATTTGAGTACCCACATGGAATTTTTTTATATATTTTATATATATGGTATTTGTGAAATATATAAATATATAAAATATATGAAAATTTGATGTGGGTACTCAAATGAAAAGTCTCGATGAGTGTAAGTAACATCGGGATCGGCTTATATCTTTAAAAATGTCAATAGTTCACAAGATAAAAGGTCATTTCATAATTATTTATCTAGAGACACAGCATTTTCGAATACAGCCTAAATAATTATCATCATAAATTGACTATTGGTGAGAATGATATGAAACCTTGAAAAGGTACAACTCCAGGTTAAGACCTTTCTAATGATACCAAATTTAACAATAAAAACCCATTTTATCATAAAAATGCACTGGCCAAAAAATTGTTCTTATTCTCTTAATAATATAGATAATTTTTTAAATATAATAATTTTAATATTAAAATAATAAAAGTATCATGAGTTGAGATTAAAATGAACTAACGGAGGTTATTAGGGTGAGGGTGAGGTTGTTAGCCTAGAACTAGAATAAGAAGGGCTTCCGGTTCACGATCCTTGGCCCGAGAATTTCAGAATGCAGTGTACAAATATAAATATTACACTTAGACGTAATGAAGGGCTTGGTGTTTATTTTTCGAGAGCAGGTATTAATTTGAGCGACGCAATGGGAGTTAATGTAACTGTATGTAAGTGAGAATTTCTCTTTTATGTGGCTAAGTTAATATATACATGAATCATGTATCATGATACAGGTATGATTAGATGGGGTGAAATTGAAATGTGCATGATAAGCATAGTAATATAATTGCAGATCCCCAGTTTGTCTCACGATTTACAGGTGTTACGAAATTTTCGAGTCCTCCGGTGTGTGCATGTGTGGATCGAATGCGTGGGTTATTATTATGGACTAGTCTCGTGCTCACGGGATGCATGTATTATAATTAGTCAGGGTTGATGAACTTGTGTGAATTTTTTTTTCTTAATAATTTTATAATTTTTAGCTGCAGAGGTTTGTTTAGAAATTTTTTTAAATGTTGAGTAATCCTGGATGTTGTGAAAATTTAAGTGGTTGTATCGAGAGTTTAGTGCTGCCAAAATTTATGCAATCAAAAAAACGTATATACTGAAAATAGTTTTGAATACTTTTTGACGGCCTTTAAAGAAATTTCAAATTAAATTATCTTACAAGTACAATCTATTACCAATTATTATTCCAGAATTTTTACAATTAATTATTTGTTAATTTATTTTCTTGTCAAATAGACTGATTTAATTTAATAATTTTTTTTTCATTAAAATCAGTAGATACTGATAGAAAAGTTAACCGGATTGAAGAGAAAAAAATTTCAAACGAAAAATATGATAAGAATTTCAATGTTATGAATAAAGCAGAAAATTTTTTGAACTAAGAAATAATTTTTGTACAAATTATATAAGTTCAAATAATAACTATTACTCTGAAAAGTTTCAGGTGTTACTTTCTATATTATTTACAAAAAATATTAATTTTTATTGTTCATTTAATCCCGTGTAAAGTCTAGCTTCTTGTCACTTTTCAAAATTAATTAAAAATTGATCAAAACTAGTTGTAAAATACTTTGTTTTTTTTTTGTCTAGAATTATAAAAAATTATTTAAACTATTATAATTTTTTTAGCTATTAAATTAATAAAAATTCCACTAAAAATCTCTTCAAATAAAGTAAATTTATCTCAAATCAAGAATTTCTTTTTTTGATTTAAAACAATAATTCTTCAAAATAATTCTTTTACTTAAAGATTCCTTCTATTAAATGAACTTTTTCATTCGTAAGCCCTAAAGCAAACGCAGGCTCAAAAATATGAACATAAAAGTAATTAAAAAAATATATTAAAGACCTTCGAGCCAATAAATAGTAATAAATATAAATATAACAGTATATTTAAGTACTGCATTGTTCTAATCCCCTTTACTTGTACTTATAACTAGTAACTACGCATTATAACTATACTTATTGCATAAATATAGACATAAAATTCCCACCTAACATAAATACAAATCTAGAATATAATTTATAAATAAACATAAACATAACTTATCAATTATTTTTTTTTTTCTTTCATATTAATCCATTTTTTCTTTCACAACAATTTTCTGTTTTCTTTCTCTCATTACATATTTTAAGATATTACGTTTATAAGTGTGTGTATGTATATGAACGCAATTTTTCTAACGGTTAACGTCGCACCTGGGCGCGTCAGAGAACAACTTAGTGCATGCAAGTCACTAAAGAAGTCGGAGGTCACTGTACCTTGAGAAACATAACGTACTTGTCGGTACTATTATTTTTATTATTATAGTAAGCTTCCCTCTCTTTAGTGCTCTATTAAATTATTTACAGATAAGGAGAGCGTATATGTATAGTCCATTTTTATTTATTATTTATATGTATATAGATAGAGCTTGTACATGGGTGGTGAGCAGTTAAGTGTAAGTAAAATAATGCATAAATGTACCAGAGCAATTAATGCGAATTAACCGCGCCACTATGTATATTATAATAAGAATTACGTTCTCACGAGTGTTGTTATCTTAAAGCTTAACGACGTCACGGTTTTGGATTTCTCATCGCGGGTTAGGTCCAGGAATTGAAATAGTTAATCGGTACATAAATAAACATTACTTTATTCGAATTATTATTCTGTCTTAAAGATTTTATTTTGCAAGATTTGCATTTTTTATTATTAATTTTAAGTGTCAAAAGTATTTTTTCATGGATGGTTTTTTTATACACTGATAAAAAAATTATCTTGACTCAAAAGCCAAAATCTTGAAACAAGAATACCATGTTGAAGAAAAGGATTTTTTTGAGATAAGAAAAATTTACTTAGATCAAGAATAATTTCTTGACTAAAAAATTTATTCTTTTTACAATGGTCTTCTTGGTTCAAGATATTTGCTCTTAACTCAAGTTAATTTTTTTATCAATGTATCTTTAAGGCAGAGAACATTTTTGATTTATTTAATGGAAAAATTTTCAAATCTACTTAATTATTGAAGAAAATTTTTAATTTATTAAAAATTATGGCGTTAATATTTAAAAAAGTTTTTTATACAATTAAAAAAATTTTTATAATTGTAATTTTTTAATATTAATATACTTAAAAAATTCAGTTGATTCGAAAATTTTTTTATAATTTTTGAGGACAAAATAACAATATAGATCATTATGTTTAATTTCTTGAAACTAATTCCCTCTTGTTAATCGCTATCATTGATAAACCTTTAACAATTTTTATCTTTTCAAGTATGTTCTATTTTTATTAATCACGTTGTAGACATAAACGACGTCAGTGTTCATAAAAATCCAAAATTCTTTTAAAAAAAGAATATTTTTACGTTCAATTTTCTCGCAAAAAATAACTTTTTAAAAAAATTTGTGAAATATTTTGATTATTTGTAAAGTGATTTATTTCAATTTTCAAAATGAAAACCTATGAAAAATTAATTATTTTTTTTGTAGTTTGTAGTGTAGCAAATGGATTCCATTCGAAGTTAAAAAAAAATTCTCCTTTATTCATTGTGCAAAATACAAACGGCAACGAGGATTTTGTATGCCAAGGTGTATTGATTAGTCCAAGTTTGATTCTTAGTATAGGAGATTGTGCAAGAAGGTAAATTAATTTCTTTTTAAGCCATTGAATAAAATGATCTCAATTCGAATGAAGTAAATAATTAATTTTGTAAATTAATTCAATTTTTACATTTATAGTTTATACTTCTCGTCCAATAACAGCGACACCTACGTCTACGACAATTCATTAAATCGAAAATACATAAGAAGAAATGACTATTACTTTATCCGTAACGTCGCATTGATTAAGACAGAAGATTCAGTAGTTAAAGAAAATCCTGATGACTATATTTTTAAATTAGCGAGTGATGTTGAGGATATCGATTACACTAAATGCAAGCTCCAGTCAATAGAATCAGACATCATTAAGGATTATTCCTGTGCTTTAGAAAACAACCTTCAAAATGTAACCAAAATGGGGCATCACAATTATATTCATTGTGCACTTATTGACCACGATAACATAGTAAGTATAAAAGCTTCTAATGAACAATTTTGAACGAACTGATAGTTAATTTATTTATCCTTTTATTTGTAGAAGTACGGAGATCTTCTGACATGTTCAAGAAAAAATTCTAAAGAAATGGTTTTAGTGGGATTCGAGTATCACATTTACTATAAATGGAGCTATAAATACCCTACTGAGCCGATAAGCATGCAGTTTATAAATTTATCCAATTTAGGAATGATTATCAGGCATAGACTGAATTCACTTCGGTGGATGTACGAAAAAGACTTTTTCCTTAATGCTGAAAATATCAGAATTTTTTCGATACTAAATATGTTTAAAGAGAATTAATAATTTGTAATTCTGGTGAATGACATTAAAGTTAGCATCAGTCACTTGATTATTTTTTAGTTTTTTTTGACAAATAAATTTGTTCCGAAAAATTATTTTTTTAATTTTTTAAAATTTCTACATGTCAATTTTTTACTATAATTTATTTGTAAAAAAAATTTTTTAAATTATCAAATATCTGCTAAATTAATTTTCATTTTTGGTAAAACTAATGAAGAAAATTCAAGTTACACTGATAGCTATTGTCTAAAATATGTAATGCGCAATAAATAGTTTCAATCATTAATTTTAATTATTTTTTTTACCAATCTAATTGAGTTTTTACCTCCAAGTAATCGTAAAATTGATATCGCATACTAATAACAATTAGATTTGTTCAAAATTTTATTGTCTTAGTCAAGTTAATTTTTTTTCGGTGTACAGAATGACAATTTAAAATTAAATCTATACAATAAAAATAACTATCATTGTATTGGAAAATAGTTATAAAAAATTGATTGGTAGCTCTCATTTTTATTTCCAGTAATTGGACTTATAAAAAAAGATAAGAGCTATATAAAGACGTATATTTTTGTGATCAATAATAAAAACTTCAATCTACTCCTCCAATAAGTTTGATACAATAAGGTATGTCTTCATTTTTATTAAAAAATATATTACTATGAACATATGTTGAAGTAAAAATTATTTTCATATTGTTTATTCATAAAATCCAAGAGAAATATAGAAATGAAGGTTTACGGATTAGTGATTATTATTTTTATCGGATTTATTTACTGTAAAGCTGCGAAAATTGGAATAAAAAAACTAACTCCGTTGTGAATGGTGAGTAAGGTGATTAATGTAGAAGAAGAAAGAGTTGCTTGCAACGCTGTGTTACTCAATCGACATATATTACTTGCTTCAGGAACTTGTATTTACGAGTAAGTATTTCCCAAATTTAATTGGCAATTGTTTTTTATATGGAGCTTTTATATTTGAATAATTTTCATTTTTATAGAAACTTCAAATTATACAAACATGATTATGCATTCATCTATAATGATGAACTCATCGAAATAACAATTGATGAGAATAATATTTTCTTCAATGAAAATTTAAGCCGCAATTTTGATCCGTCTTTACGTAATTTTGCGTTGATAATCAATAAAGAAGAAATGAATCCACCGTATGCAATTGAATATTTCTATAATTTTGCTAGGAATGTTAATAAGATTAATTTCACGGATTGTATAGTTCAGACACCTTCAGACTTAAGTACTTTAGATGAAGCACATTCTTGTGTGTCTTCGGAGTATAATGATACAATTAATCGAGTAAAGAATGTCAATAAAATAAACTGTCCAAATATTGTCAGTTCATGGGTAAGTGTAACAATATATTTAAAAATAATTAAAAATTTAACTTCATTCTAGAGAAAAATTCTTGACCTAAACAATTTTACAGAATTTTTCATCTTGAACTAAAGAAGAAAATTTCTTGAATGATTTTTTTACTCTAAGATTTTTCTCTAGAATGTATTAAATTTTTTATAAGTGAGGATAATTGAAAAATGGTATGAATAATTACAGACAGTTACCAACTTTTTTTTTTAATAGAGAGATAACGACTTGCTTATTTGCTCGATTAAAAATAAACCTAATACCATGGTTTTAGTTGGATTTATGCAACGTCGTTCTAAAAATTTAATCAATTTATCAGACCTTGGTCCTATAATACGCCGAAAATTAACAAAAATTAAAATACTTTCATCAGAGACGAAATCTGCTACCACATTTTTATCGATTTGGAATTTTTTGAGATTTTTCTCGCCCATTGGTCGATACTAATAACAAAAACAATTTTATCAGAGGAAAGAACTATTTTATTGAACTATAAAATTATTTTTGGAATAAACTTAGGGGAGGGGGGGGGGCAAAATGGGCTCCTAGGGGCAAAATGGGCCCCCAACATTTTCAACTCTCGAAGTGTTTGGGAGGTATAATGGCGATGTGCAAAACAAGTAAGAAACATATTGAGTTTTTTGGGGGGCCCATTTTACACCACTTTTCTCAATTTTTTAATTTCGATGTACAAAAAAAAAATTAATACCATAAACGCAGTAAAAGGCCAAAAAAAGTAAAACGAGCTGAAAAACTCATATTATAAAAATTTTCTGAAGGTGGCCCATTTTGCCCCACATTTTCAATTTTTTTTTTTTTTAATGAACAGAGCAAATTGAGGTCAAATACTTGGCAAGGGACTAAAAAAAAGTAAAACCAGAGAAAAACACTAAGGATATCAACATTTTTTTCTTAAGGGGCCCATTTTGCCCCCCCCCTTCCCCTATGTGTTAATCTTAGCTTAATGTGTAAACAAGCTTAGAACATTTAAAATAATAATAATAGTAACTAGCAACCTTGCAGTCACTATGTGACTTGTGAATTATAAATAAATAAAATTTTGCTTTATGAAATGATGACTTTTGTTAAATTGCACTGTACTTTTTTAACTATTGACGTTGTTAAAGATATAAGCTCATCTCAATATTACACTCATCAAGAGCTTTCATTTGAGTACCCACATGCATTTTGATATATTTTTCATATATACATATAAATATATGAAAAATTGATATGGGTACTCAAATGAAAGGTCTTGATGAGTGTAACATCGGGATAAGATTATATCTTTAAAAATGTTAATAGTTCACAAGATACAAGGTCATTTCTTAATTATTGACATTTTTAAAGATGTAAGCTCATCCCGATGTTACACTCATCGAGACCTTTTATTTAAGTACCTACATGGAAATTTTTATATATTTCATATATATGGTATTTGTGAAGTATATAAATATATAAAATATATGAAAAATTGATGTGGGTACTCAAATGAAAGGTCTTGATGAGTGTAACATCGGGATGAGCTTATATCTTTAAAAATGTCAATAGTTCACGAGATACAAGGTCATTTCTTAATTATGTATTAAAACATTTTATCATATGAATACACTGGCCACAACATTTTGCTTATTCTCTTAATAATATAAATAATAAACCACTTATTTTTGGTGACAAAAGTTATCAATTATCAATATAAGAATTGAAACATTGAAAGAAGTAAATGAAAAAATATTTATATTATGTAAAAAATAAAGTCTAATAAATCTGAAAGGGACCAAGTGTTGGTAGCTAAAGATCTTGCACGGTATAAACAGAACATTAGTGTACAGGAGCGTATTAATGTGAGTAGAGCGGAGTGTGTGGTGTAGCGTGCCGTATCACGGGCGGCAGAGAACGGATGTCTGGTGTGTAAGGAACCGCTAAAATGGTGTTCGTCGTTATCAGTTAGATCTGGAGCGGCGATGCGAAGAGAAGCACGCCGAGTAGTCGCTGAGGGTTCTGTTCTGTTCTGTTCTGTTCTGTTCTGTTCCCTACACTAAGCCGAACAGCCGTGCAATACAGCTCGCTTACAACCTCTATGTATTTTATGCTGTAAATGAACCTACCTCCCAACACATCCTCGAGATATACGACGTACAATATACGACATACGACGTACGATGCCCACATCCACAGATATAATGCACCAAGGGCTGGTCTCGTGCTTTCGCTCTACAGTACTCGTTGGTCTCTATACCCGGCGTTCAACTTCTGTACCAGGTATCATTGTACCACATACATACCCGTACTTTCAATATTCTCGCCGATCTCTACCATTCCTACCTAACCATTTTTTATTATATCTTTTCCTTATCCCTCCTTTTTTCTTTCATTCGTTTTACCACGTCCTTTACTTAACTACACATATGTATATATCCACCTTTTTATTTACTTTTTATCAACATTTCGCGGTCTCTTTTACTCGTTCGGTTAATCCTGATCTTACTCGGATGCTGTTACCAGAAACTGCCCACCTAGCTTACCGATATCTTTTCAGGTATGTGTATAAATATTATCGGCATACAAATTTTATTCATAATGAGACAGTCTAAGATATGGAGTGACAAAGGTAATTAGATTTTACATTTACTACAACTGCTAAAAATTATATTTTTATTTTTTATAAGTTTATTTAATACTAATATAAATTTAATTACAACTAGCAACCTTGTCACTATGTGACTTCCGTGACTTGTGAACTATAAATAAATACAATTTGCTTTATTTAATAATGACTTTTGTTAAATTGCACTGTACTTTTTTAACTATTGACGTTTTTAAAGATTTATATCTTTAATTATTATAAGCTCATCCTGATGTTACACTCATCAAGAGCTTTTATTTGAGTGCCCACATGCATTTTGATATATTTTTCATATATAAATATATGAAAAATGTTGTGGGTACTTAAATGAAAGGTCTCGATGAGTGTAATATCGAGATGAGCTTATATCGTTAAAAATATCATTAGTTGACGAGATAAAATGTCATTTCTTAATTATTGACGTTTTTAAAGATATACTCTCTTAAAAGGAATCAGTGGAATTTCACTGGTTTACCAGTGGACGTTCACTGATTCCAACCAGTGGTGCAATTTCACTGGTGAATCAGTGAAATCCACTGATTCAATCAGTGAACAAAATATCTGCGCGCATGCGCGCTAGTATCTCCACTGGTTGAATCAGTGAATTCCACTGATTCGCCAGTGACATTGCATTCACTGGTTGGAATCAGTGAACTTCCACTGGTGAACCAGTGAAATTCCACTGATTTCTTTTAAGAGAGTAAGCTCATCCCGATGTTACACTCATCGAGACCTTTCATTTGAGTACCCACATGGCATTTTTTATATATTTTATATATATGGTATTTGTGAAATATATAAATATATAAAATATATGAAAAATTGATGTGGGTACTCAAATTCAAGGTCTCGATGAGTGTAACATCGAGATGAGCTTATATCTTTAAAAATGTCAATACTTCACAAGATACAAGGTCATTTCTTAATTATGTATCTAGAGAGAGTATTTTCGAATGAAGCCTAAATACTTATCTTCATAAATCGACTACTGGTAGTCAAGTGATTTAATAAATATTACTATTGATAATTAATTAATCATCTATTAAAAAAATTCATTTAAAAGTTAAAAATAATTGCTAATACTTGATAAACAAATAAATTGTTTTAAAATAAATTAATTTACTTACAGTCAATAAATTTCTCTATCAGAGTATAATTCTAGATCGTAGAAAAATTTTTTTTACTTTAAAATAATGATAAAAAATTATTTATGAATTTTACGAAAAATGTAAATAGGTTTTTTAACTAAATTAAATCATTAAATTAATAAAATTCAAATTCAAAGAAAGAGCTCAATAATAATACGCATAAAAATAGTAAAATAATTTTCCAGGTATTTGAAATATGGTTGCTGGTAGTAAAGAGATTGTAATTCGTTAATTAGACAGCGGAGACGTCCTACGGAGTCTTTAAAGTTGGCCTTAATTGCCATTGCGCGTCCTCAACGCATTACATTTTTGTTATTAATTTTTTTTTCTCTTGTGTAGGAGTTTTTTTTTATCCATTTACTCAGTCTTTTTGTTTTTATAAACTTGGAGCGAACCCACGCGCGAGATCCGCCGATTATAAGATAACGAGGGCTACGGGCTCAATGAAAGGCGTTTCTCGTCACGTCGTTATAAAAATAAACTATTTTTATTAATTACATAAATATAAACTTTTTATCCAAACAAACAAATGTAAACACCGAGGTAAAAAACTTAAACGGCAAAAAATTTAATTACAAAAAAATATTATTTATTGGTAATACCAACTGCATTTATCATATTGATAAAATGATTGATTGGTTGGTTAAATATTAAAATATTGAATCTCATAATTCGAAATTTTTGCCAGCAATATTTCATTTTAATGTTTCTAACCAGAAATAAATTAGTCTAGACTCGATCAAAAAAATTAAATAAATAAATATCTTGCATTCGGTATTTTTTTAATCCTAATCATCCGAGTGTCCTTGTACTGATTTAAATGTCGTAAAAATAAAAATAATAAAATTAAGAGAGCGGAAGCGAGCCGCAACATTTCACTTTTTCGCAACTAGTACACGCGTCGAGCCGAAAAGTATTGCACGACTTCCGAGCTCGATTTTTTAGTTTTGTTTTATTGCTACATCAGCGACGACGGTGGCCCTGGTGATCTTTTATTATGTTGTTTTTATTAATCTTCTCCAAGAACTTTAATTAATTGATAAACTTGGACTTTTAGAGTCTCGCTACAGAAAAAAAAAATTTTATTGAGTTACCAAAAAATATTTTCTTCACTAAAGAAAATATTTTTCATTTATAGTTTTTGATGGTATGAATTTATTTTTAATATATTTTTTACATAAATTTTTTTCATCAAAGCAGAAAAGAAAACAAAAAACCATTGATTGTGTTAGGAAAATTAAATTTTTACCACCAGAATGAGAAAATTAATAATTATTGCTTTACAAGCTTTGAATTTTTGACAGAATTATAAATTTTTTATTCGAACAGGTCAAAGTTGATTTATTTTTTCACAAATATATATTTTAATAGGCAATAAATAACGAGTACAGTACATAATAAAAAATGGAAAAAAGTATAAAAAACAGTAAACTTGATAAAATATGAAATTAAAACGGTATAAGAAAATTTACTAACGTGATGCCGATCATTAGGATGCAATTAAATTTACAATTTTCATTCATAATTCATTCACATTGTATATTATTACACGGTTCCTAACGTCTCGTGGGAACTCGTTAACTAACCATGAGGGCTAGATGTACATGCGTGTATACATCTATATACATTATTTAATACACATATATAAATAAATATATACCTCCATGATGTATATGCGTATAAAATAATTAGAGAGGTCATCGTGATTTTGCTTAAAGTGTCGATTGATTCGCGTTGAAAAATTTTAATTATTTAATTAATTGCGCGTCGGTAATTAAAACTTTGTTATTATTAAACAAATTATTCCTTCAAATGTAGATTACGGATAAATAATTATGTACAAAAATATTTTTATAGCGGATAGCAATAAATATTTTATTTAAATCAGGCGTGTATTTCACCCGCAGTATCTTAAGTGATAAAGAAAAATGTTACAGTAGTAACATATCTGTCGGTATTTTTATTTTATCTTAAACAGTCTCTTATTCGCAATAATACGGTACTTTGCGGACATTAAATAACTTTTTTTTATTTATTTTTTTTATTTTGCTCCAATACGAGAGATTAAATTATTTTTTTGAAGGCAATAATAGCGAGTTAAGAGTTTATAAAATGTATGATAAATGATAATAATGAAAAGGTCAAGTAATAGGTGTAGTGTGTGAAAGGGATATTACATTGGATGTAAAATATGTCTTGTTATTTATATTAGATGTGGATTATTCGGAGGTAATGTAACAAGAGCTCAAAAAGTTGAGTGGGCATGTGACGACGTGATCATGAATCTAGTTTGTTTGTATAGGTATGTAACGTGTGTAGGTATTAAGTACACGTATGGAAGTAAACGAATTGTAACTGTATCGAAGATCGGATTACTATAGATGATAACGATCGATCACGATCGATCCATGCTTGATATTTCACTTTAACTCGACTCGTCGCGATCTTAGGCATTTAAGTTTTCTTCACTTGACATTTATATTATTTTCACATATTTTCATTCCTATTTACATTTTACAGTTTATCATACATTGAATTTTCGTTCTTTTTTTATATTAAACATATTTTATTATTTGTAATAAATTACACAAAGAAGGCAACTAAAAAATTACAATTTTAAATTATATTTTAAGAAAATAAAATTATAAATGTTGATTTTTGCAGTTTCGAGTGTACACAGTAAAAAAATTTGCATCATTGCGCCAAAAAATTTTGTGTTAAATATTTAACACTGTTTTGTGTTGATTTATCGGAATAAATGTTGAATTTACACAAAAAAAGTTTTAAATATTAAACACAAACATTTTTAACACTAAGTTTTTTGACGCAAAATTTTTTACAGTGTAATTTTAGTTTTAAAATTTATTTTTTTACAAAGTTTGTGATGTCAAAAAAATGAAATTGATTCAAGAAAAAAATTCTTGAATTAAGTAAAATTTATTTAAATTAAGAAACATTTCTCAGTGCAAAAATTTTTATGTTCAAATTAAAACGATGAATCTCATTAAGATGATTTTCTTGACTCAACATTTTTTTTCTTAAAAAATTTTGCGTCATTGCGTCAAAAAATTTTGTGTCTAAAAATTTTTATGTTAAATATTGAACACTTTTTTATGTTGATTTAACAGAATAAATGTTAAATTTACACATAAAAGTGTTAAATATTTAATACAAAATTTTTACACTAAGTTTTTTGATGCAATCACGCAAAATTTTTTACTGTGCAGAATTCAATTTTCAAACTGCAATATTTCCATTTTTTTGGCTCAGAGCTTTTATAAAGCTCCAGCTTCTATAAATTATACTGTAATTACAAACTAATTTTTAAAACCAAAGAAATATTTTTCGGCAAAAAATATAAGTTTTGATGAAAAGGCAAAAAACAAAATATAGACGGT